CATGGAATGATTGGAATGCAGTGAATGATAGGAATGCAGGGAAAGATAGGAATGCAGGGAGTGATAGAAATACAGGGAATAATAGGAAGGCAGGTAATGTTACGAACGGAGGGAATGATAGGAATGCAGGAATGATAGGAAGGCAGGTAATCATACGAATACAGGGAAAGATAGGAAGGCAGGGAATGATAGGAATGCAGGGAATGATAGGAATGCAGGGAATGTTAGGAAGGCAGGCAATGGTACGAATGCATGGAATGATAGGAAGGCAGGGAATGATAGGAATGCAAGGAATGATAGGAATGCAGGAAGTGATAGGAATGCAAGGAATGATAGGAATAGGGAATGATAGGAATGCAGGGAATGATAGGAATGCAAGGAATGATAGGAAGGTAGGGAATGATTGGAAGGCAGGGAATGATAGGAATGAAAGGAATGATAGGAATGCAAGGAATGCAAGGAATGCAAGGAATGATAGGAATGCAAGGAATGATAGGGATAGGGAATGATAGGGATTCAAGTAATAATAGGAATGGTAGGAAGGCAGAGAATGATAGGAATGCCGGGAATGATATGCAGGGAATGATATGAAGGCATGGAATGATAGGAAGGTAGGGAATGATAGGAATGCAGCGAATGATTGGAATGCGGGGAACGATAGTAATTTGAGGAATGGTAGGAACACATGCAATGATAAGAATGCACGGAATGATAGGAACGGAATGCTCGGAATGAAGGGAATGATAGGAATGCAGGGAGTGATAGGAATGCAGGGAATGATAGATATGCGGGGAGCTGACCGGCGAAGAAGGTGCTTTTGAGATGGGGGTAGTTGTGTTGATGGTAGCACAACTTGGAGGAACTTCAGAGGTTTGATTCACCCAAGGAATGCAGGGATGTAGCCTCCAATTTGGGACATCCGTTCAGGTCCCTGCCAAAGGGCAGCTAGCTAAGGGCAGAGATCCAAGGGCAGAGAAGATGGTGGCGTTCTTATATTTGAGTAAAAAACACCCTGTGATGTGGCACCAATTCAAACTTTTTCGGAGCCAAGGGCAAAGAACACTGGGTAACCTTCCTTCATTCAAGTCAAAAGTGTCTTCTTCATTGGTGCGACAGTCTTACAGGCCCTTGCAGAGCTGAATGTAGGGGGCTGGAGATATTTATACTAACATGCAGGTGCTTCCTAAACCACAACCCTTATTTAGGTGACTTCTCAGACTGCCGCCCTCACTAAGGTGAATATATGAGAGTTTTGATTGAATATAAGCTCACACTTCCGTAACGTAGAAGTCACGTTACGGAAGTGTGAGCTTATGTTCAATCAGAACTCTCTTATCGGAAAACAAATATTTTGATTGTGAAATACGCAACGAACCTAACTCCCTATTTGCTATTTACGTCACATCTCATTCCATTCTTACTAGCCCCATATCAAGCAAAGCATTGGCAAGAGAATTGCAAATCACTCCCCTTCCAAGCAATCCCACATACCCCATGCCCGCCACACATCCCAGCACTAGTCCATGTCCCACAGAGTTCCCTGCATCTAGCATCCCAGCACCCCCACACTTCGAACAAACTGAAGAGAGGCAGTTGTATGAGAGGGCATCAGGGTTCGGGCAGGGCCGGCAGCACTGCCCATGAAACTGCTGTCGGAGATTGTGAAATAGAGATGGATGGTAGGAATGAGGGGATTGGGCCATAGAGGTAGTTGCGATTGACATCACTGAGAGGGTAATGGGGGGAGGAGGGAAAGAGGAAAGGAATTAATCATGTACAGGGGGAGGGAGATGGATGGGAGGAATGAATGAGGGCAGTGAGACAGAGATGTAGCTGCCAATGCCATCATTGTTTGGGTGGTGAATAGGAAGAAGGTGAGATGGGACAACCAAAGCATGAGACAACCAAGTTGATGGGGCTAATTCGTTAAAAATCAACTCGTTTTGTGGCATCTTGGACATGACATGTTCATCCTTCATAACACACCCCCTGGTATGCCCTAGCCTACAGTCTTTACAGGTGTTTAAGGGCACTTAACCTGCGATGGGAGTCACTTAGCATGTTGTTTAGACACATTTAAGGCTTCATGTTGCTTTTTGCAGTTCACGGAGCATTGTGGGGCATTCAGCATGAGGAGAAGCATCAGGAAATCAAGGGGTTGCTTACAATCTGAGAAGGTTCTTCAGAGGACTGAAGTTGAGGAGGAACCCGCTCAGTATGTTGTTGTCCGACTGCCTGAATGGTTCAATCACAGTCAGATACAATTGCAGAGAGACGTCTCTATATAAAAGGCGCTCGCTATCAGGGAGGAAGCCAGTCAGCTTGTTGTTGCTGTTGAATCCTATTTGTTTTGAACACACGACCTATCCAAAGTAAGGGAAAGAACACAGTAGAATGCATGACATAGTGTCGCACACACTGCTCGGTGCCACCTCCTCCTCCCCATCTCATGCCTCGCCTTGCTCTTTCCCCAGCTCTGGCTGCTTCCTTCTATTGCCTCTTCCTCCTTCTCTTTCTGTCTGTCCCATCTCCACGTTTTCCATCCTTGCCTTTGCCCTGCTCAGGTTCTATCCTGACCTCTCAATGAAAAGCTCCCTACTCAACTGCCAAACCATCACGCAAAATTCCGCCCCGTTGTCTTTGTTATGTCATCACTGTCTGTAGTTCGGTCGGAAGAAGCTCCAACATTGAACTAGGAATCTGGAAACATACACAAAGCAGCTAAGGGCATGATACCTTGGGCTCAGACCGGCCGTTTTTTTCGGACTTCGAGAAGGGTTGAAGGCGGTTTAGATTCCTTCTATCGAATACAAGTGGTGTACATAGCTGTGAGAGTTTGAAACCAGTGGTTTTGAACCTGAAGTACCACGCCCTAAAAAAATGCTAGACTAGCCTACATTCCCCCTCCATGCGCCTGTCTCTAGGCCTAATGGTGTTTCCGTCCCACTGCTCAAGCAGGCAGGAGATGGTTATGCCCTCAGCCAATCAGTGATTGGCATCCATCATGCCATCAATTGGCTTGTCCAACTGGCCACCTGCACACGCAAAAATGCACACAAAAGCGACACAAACAAAGTAACACACCCCACCCATCATTCCGGGTCCAGCCGAGCCTCGAGTTCTCCCAACCTCCACGTATCTTCTGCCAGTTGGCTCCTTTCACGTGAGCTGATGCCGCCAGCTAGATCCACCTCACCCCATGCAATCCTTGATAGCAGATTTGCCCACCCCCCAGGGCAATGTTCCTCCCTAGCTATACCTCCCACTCTCCATTCTGCTCTATTTACATACATGTACTTTTATGCCTCCCTCTGTCAGCATTTCTATTAGGAAACCAGCTGTCGCACGCAATGTTCGATGCCACCTTCTCCCCCCCTCTCATGCCTCCCTTTGCTCTTTTCCCAGCTTTTGCTGCTTCCTTCTATTGCCTCTTCCTCCTCTTTCCTTCGGTCCCATCTCCACGTTCCTTCCTTGCCCTTGCCTTGCTCAGGTTCTATCCCAACCTCTCATGCCCCCTCCTGTGCTCTGCTGCCGCCCTTGTCCGAGTCACGGGACCCTGGTAGCTCCTGCCTTCCCTGGATCCGTCTGCCTTATTCTCCACCTCCTATTTTGTGCTCTCCTTCCCCTTCCTCTGCACCCGAGGCAGCCTGGTCACATTCGTGGCGTGATCCATCACCCGTTGCCCCTGCTCATCTTCCACCACAATCACTCCCGACTCATGCACCTCCTTCACCTTCCATCGCTGATGTGTAACACCCATTTCAAGCGTATCTCCCTTCACTTGGCGCAGGTACACCTCCTCCTCAAGCTGCAACACTGCTGCTCCTCCCTTCCCACGCTGCTCTGCCACTGTTTATAGTGGTGTATGTCCCAGAGGTGCACCACTTGTAGGCTCTCCAATGCTGCTAGCAGCAAGCTCTTCAAGTATTCTGCCCTGGCGTCAGCCACCGCCACTCACTTCTCCATTGTTCCTGCCATGACTGTATCTGTGAGAAGCTTCGGTGCTAACACCGGGAGCACTGGCTCCCGCCCACCTGCCTGCCTGCTGAACCTGTAACCCTCCATGACCCCATGGCAGTTGCGCATCCTAATCTGCCTTGCGCGCCTCCCCATACACCCTCAGTGCATTCTTCACCACCTGCACTAGCCACCCAGTTATCCCATTGCCTTGTGGGTGATAACGAGAGGTCGCCCTATGTTGCACTCCACATTGCACCAGTAGCTTGTGGAACTCGCCCTGAAACTCACTCCCCTGGTCCACCACTACTTCCCCACACGCTCCAACGCATGTCAGCACCATTTCTTCGAATGCCCCAGCAACCCCCGGCGCGGTCTTGTTCACCAACCCCTTGCTGCGGCCCACTTGCTAGTATGTTCTATCATGAGCACAATATAACATCAGCCCCCACCAGATCCAGCGACCAGCGATACCCCAGGCCTACAATCGGAAGAGGGCTCAAGGCTGCCTTTTCTCATTCCAGCTTCACTATGTTGCGAATGCATGCCTCGCAGTGTTCCACCCAGTCTCAAATTTCCTTGCGGATCCCCGCCCACCACCAGCCTATCTGCACCAGTTGATGGGTTCTCAGCGGCCCGTAGTGCCCCAGCTTTGCATGAACCTCCTTGATTATCCATATCCACTCCTCTGGGTGTGGCCTCTCTTTCATCCGTCTTTGGACTTCAGTTGCAGCTGTCCCTGGTACCACCAATAGTGTTGCCCTCTAGCCCGCGCCCTCTTGCTCACATGTGCTGCCTCTCTAGTTTCCCCTTTGATCCACTGTAGCACATATTTGTCCTCCCACATGTCTGCTGTCCCTCTTCTCTGCTCCTCCTCTTCGGTCCCCTTACTCTAAGCCTATTGAGCCAGCAGCATCAGACATGCCGACACGCGTTTCGGTGGAGGGCTTCGGGGCAACCTATCTTCGTGCTGCATCATCTTGCCCGGGCAGTGTCGCACCTGAAAATCATATTCCTGGAGCTCCATTGCCCAGTGGGCATTCCTCCCAGTAAGCACTTGATTCTACATCAGCCATAGCAGAGGCTCATGGTCTGTGACCAACGTGAATGTTTCCCTTGAAGGTACACCCTAAAATGTCCCACTGCCCACACTGCCCCTAGCTCTTCCCCTTCGTATGATGAGTAGTTTGCCTCTGATGCATTGCAGCTGCGGCTGGCAAACGCCACTACTCTTTCCATGCCATCCACCACCCGGCACAGTACGGCTCCCATCCCTGCACTGCTCCAATCTGTGTACAGTACATAAGGCACGTCCCATTGTGGCAGTTCCAGCACTGATGCTTCCTTAAATGCCGTCTGTAGGTCTGCTACTGCCAATTTCTGCTCCTCTCCCCACTCCCACTAACGAGATCCCATCATGACTGCAGCACCGTCAGTGCTGATGCCCGAGATGTGGCCGAGGTCGACTTCAATCGCCTGCAGATGAGACAGCAGGAGAGTGAGAAGCGATACCGCATATGCCTTATCCACTGTCAGCAGAGCCAGATACTTGGTGACAAGCCTCCCTTCCTGGATCAACGTGATGAACACGATCATGCGCTTGCCATAGCATCGGTGGTGCTTTCATCGAGGCTGAGGCCGATGAAGGGGCTGGCCAGCAGGTGTTGAAGTTGAGACGTCTGCAGGCACGTTGTCGCCGCTTGTGTTAGCTCACCGAAGCCGTACCTGAAACACGACACGCACAAGCCGACTTGGTGTTAGGTTCTGTTTGCGATTGCTTGGCAACATGAAAACTTAAGAGTCGTGAGAGCTCTCACCATTTGTAATACGTGCCGTCGGCAGCCTTCGGGAAGCCCTTAAAACCACACTCTGAGAGATAGTGTACCAATCAAATCCATGCCATGTTTCCATGGGTTCGTTACACTTGGCGCAGAAGTAGAGGGAGTTGAGCAGCATGATGACTCGCTCCTTCTCCTCGTTGGTCGTGCAGGGGTGCGTGTCGATTCGCTGCTGGTTTGACGCCCATTGCAGGAGGTCGTCCTACTTCGACATGGCGAATCGATGCTTTTGCATCCCAGCATGCTAATTGAATGACTGGGTCTGCACGTCGATGGCTCCCTTGCCCGTCTTGCCGGTTTCCCCTATGGATTCTGCATGCACTGCGCATACACTGCACTCGAATGCCAGCAGCCCTTGTCAGTTTTCAAGAGCATCAGCCAGGGAAATCTGTCTGACCAGCAACATTTGAAACACTCCTGAGCCTCAACCTAAATGTCCGCATTGGTTCTAGCAGTGGACCTGCCTCCAGAAGACTCTGGCGTATCCGACGGCGACGAGGTGCTCGGTGCAGGCTCAGGAGGATCCTGGCATGTCGTGGTGGATGCAAATGGCAGAACCACCTGGTGGTAGTGAAACCTCTTCGCTGCCGTCACAGACGGCAAGGTACAGGCGACTAGGGCTGATGCAGCAGAATGGGGACTTGCCTCGGCATACTGTTCGACCAACGCTTTTGGAACCGATGCATCAGCATCAGCTGGGGCAACGTAATCGGTAGGTTTCCTCAGAGGGCTACGATTAGTGGCATCACTCTGCCGCAGGAACTCTAGCGCAGCGCGACCATCGCGTGCTTTCTCGGTGCACCAGTACTCCTCTTCTTCTACATCTACTAGGGGACTAAACGAGCATGGGGTGGAGCATGGCCGGAGGGAGGATAAACAGCCAGTGTGTAATAAGCTGATGGAGAAGGAGGGGGTTCTTCCAGCTCCAACTCCTTCGCGGCTTGCGAGGTATTGCCCCTGCATGCCTGACGGGCTTGTCAGCATGGGTGCAGTGCGTGGCCTGTTGAGGCTGGACCACCAAAATGCCTGACGATTGGCGCAGTCGGCCTGACTTGGGTCAAGGGCCAATTGGCTGCTTGGGCTATCTATGTGTTGGCGCCAACACTCAAGATTTGGCCACCCAACAGCTCGGGCCGCGCCAGCGCAATTGTAATTTGAGCATGATTGACGGCGAAGACAGGGTACTAGCGAATCAGAGTCCCCCCCACATATAAGGCTGAGGCATCAGAGTACACTAGTCAAAGAAGTCTAGAAAATCAGCGTACGTACATTAAATAGGTCTGAAAAATCAAAGGTACGTACAAAAAAAAAAAAACTTCCGGATCAGAGAACACCCCCAAAAAAACTCAGAAAAAGTCTGACTCATAGTAAAAATTTTACAATTTGGGGGCCTGGTTCCGATACCTAAATCTTTGGCAACTGCGCGTAGTGCCAGCGGCTGCTACTCCGTTCCTCCACCGTCCAAACTAGGAGACGCTCCTCTGATACTTTAGTGCTATTGCCACGGCTGCCGCTCGCTTCAGATCATACGTCCATTTCTTCTCCATTTCGTTCTCCTCCTCCGGAGTGAGTGTCCTCCTTGCATGCCGAGCTTCGTGGCCTCTTCCTCGGCGCGGCTCTCACTCGAAGACATCTCGTCATCCCGCCTTTCTACATGCTCTCCTGCAGGCTCCTAGATTGCAGGAAAAAATTCATGATTCAGGTAAAAAAGCAGGGTTGTTGTTGGTACCAACCCTGATTGCACAGCTTTTTTAGAAGGCATGTCCTGATTTTTCAGCATTTTTTGAGTGGTCAACTCTGATTCCTCTGCAAGGTTTTCTTAGTGAACCCTGAAATTTCAGCTTTGTGACGAACTGCACCCATTTCCGCCAATGCTTGATTTGGGGGGTCTCCTTAGATTTCTGAGGTTCTTCCCACCTCTAGGCTGTATGAGAGCGCTGATTCGCCCTTTGTCAGATTTGAGGCTCGATGCGTGCTGGGGACTGTGTGAGAACACTTCATGGCTAAAATTTGGGTCTGATGTTTGCCTTGGAGCCTTGTGAGAGTGACAATCCCCTTCGTCCCTGCAATCTTGCCTGCCTAACCAAATTCGTGTCTTGCCCCATAATTTCGCCCTGGGCGCATGAATTCGCTATGGGAGTAAGAATGCACAAAGCTCCAGAATGAAGGAAAGTTTTCGTAAGTAACGCTGTTTGCTCAGGAAAAAAATCCGGTGAAAAACTCAGGGGGAGTCCTGAGCGATCAGCATGCCTGAAAACCAACCTAGGGGCCTGCTCTCCTGCCTTGTCGGCCAGCAAGGGCTCTCCGCCTTTCTCCTTCTCCATCTCCCTATCCTCGGCGTATCCCTTTCCCGATCTGAGGCTTTTTATTATGTATACAAAGCTCCCTACTCCACTATCATTTCGTCATGCCAACTTCCACCCTGTCCTCTTTGTTTTGTCATCGCTATCTGTAGTTCGGTCGGCAGAAGCTCCAACATTCAACTACGAATGTGAAAACATACTAAAAGTGGCTAAACAATTGCTAGACCAACCTATTATCAACATATACATATATATATATGTATATGTGTGTGTGTAGGCTAGGTAGGTGTACTACATGTACAGGTTCTTACTGTAGAGGCGGCAGCTCTTCTCTTGTACCTCTCTCTTCTCAGGTCACACTCTCTCTCCTCGCTAACTTTCTCTATAGCTAAACCCTATCTCGACATGGTATCAGAGCAGGTCCATCCTCCCGGGTCTGCTCCCCACGCTTCTGCATCTCACTCTCTCCTCTCCTCCCACTGTCGCACCGCCATGCCGCGCCCTGTCGCGCAGCCCCCCCCAGCTCACCGTCGGCCTTAGCTCACCGCGTCGGCCCCATCTCGTCGCGACGGCCCCAGCTCGCCTCGCAGCCCTCAGCTTGCCGCCGGCCCCAGCTCGCCACGTCCACACCAGCCTGCCGCGCTGCCCCATGTACCTCTCTTTCTTCTCTAGTTACACTCTTTCTCGCTAACTTTCTCTCCAGCCAAACCCTATATTGATACCTACATCCCCCCTCCATGCGCCTGTCTCTAGGCCTAACTCTCAGAGTAGCGAAGTAACTAGAACAAGGCAGTACGAGGAACATATATGGTTTGAGTTGTACCCTCTAAGAACACAAACCCATCTAGCCTACAACTTCTACATATAACACATATGTATAAGTTGACACACCCCCGAGGCTATAAAAAGAGACACTGCCTAAAAAGAGACACGCAGCTCAGGGCGGCACTACTAGTCCAACCTCTGAGGGAGGGGTCTGAGGACTAGTCAGCAAGAGTACAAACTAAACAAGAGTAACTCAGGGCGGCACTACTAGTCCTGCCTCAAAGACAAGAGCCACAATGCTAGTCAAGATGATAGAATGAGTAATACACAATCATGGCCCTAGCAAGAGAGGAGCTACTGGGCAAAGAACAAGCTGTACGCAGTGCCGCTGATGATCTTTAGGTGCAAGCGGCCCAGTACAAATATCAGCTGTGTTGGCACCGGAGGCCAAGTGTACTACTCGTGTCTGGTGGCGCTGCTGCAGCTTGCTCAAGAGGAAGTACCGCAGCTGGATGTGCTTTGCTCTACCCTCTAGTCGAGGCTCCTGACACAGGAGGATCATGCCTCTGTTGTCGGTGCAGAGCTAGGCTGCTCACCTAAGTCAATGAGCAAGAAGGTCAGCCAGCGGAGCTCCTGTGCTGCCATGGCAACAGCATAGATCTCAGCCTCATAGCTTGACTGGGCAACAAACGACGAGCGGGTGGACCTCCACGAGATGGCGCCTGCATCAAAGCTAAAGCAGTAGCCCTAGGAGGACCACTGGGCATCATCCGCCCACGAAGCGTCAATGTGCTTCTTGAGAACCACTGGTCTGCGGCCTCCCAGCACTAGCCCCATGCCCAATGTACTTGCTAGATATCGCAACACCCTCTTAATAGCCGACCACTGCCGGGGTCGGTGTCTGCCTGTCGCAACAAAGCGAGCGAGGATACTGAGAAGGTATGCGCGATCTAGACGAGTGCAAGTCATCGGGTGCATAAGGCAGCCCACCAGCTCTGCGTATTGACCACAAGGCTAGACTGGCTCGTCAGAGACAGGAGCCGAGAGCCTGTGATCCACTGGCACAGGGGTGGGCTGGGTGGAGGAGAACTGAAGGCCGAACCTCTAAAGGACCTGGCGCACCAAGTGTGACTGTGTGAGAGTGATGGTGCGTGCTGCACTTTTCCTAGAGATCTGCAGCCCAAGGTAGCGGCACAGCTCTCCTAGGTCAGTGCATGTGTGTCTCCTCAGCAGCTTTGCCTTCACCAAGGCCAGTGCGTCTCTGTCTGCAGGAACGAAGACCAAGTCCTCTACGTAGACTAGGATGTAGAACAGGAGCGAAGACCAAGTCCTCTACGTAGACTAGGATGTAGAACGGAGTGTGGCATGAGCGAACGAAGAGCGAAGAGTCAGCAGAGGATGGAAAGAACTGCAGGTCTGCTAACGTAGCATGCAGCATATCATGCCACTTCTGGGGTGCTTGCCGCATACCGTAAACCGAGTGCCGAAGGAACCACTCGGTCCTAGGAGGGAAAGTGCCAGAGAAGCCTGGCGGGCGGTGCAGGTAGATCTGCTCGTGCAGGCTGCCCTCGAGGAACGCTGTGGAAAAGATAAGCGAATGAAGCTCGTAGTTGCACTGTGTTGCTACGTGAAGCAGTGCCCGAATAGTGGTCATCTTCGGGGTCGGGGCAAAGGTCTGGAAGACGTCCACCCCCTCGCGATGACTGAAGCATGTAGCAATGTAGCGCACCTTGAATACCGGCAGCTCTCCAGGAGGGCGCTTCACCCTGAAGAGCCACCAGCCATCGACTTCATTTGCCCCAGGTGGGGGAAGTGCATCGACGTAGGTGCCGGTGGATCTCCAAGATGCCATCTCTGCGCCCATGGCAGCTATCCGATGCCCAGGATCCCGTAGTCGCCTCAGCATAGGTGCGAGGAGT